TTTTTTTAGTATACTTGGCAATATCTTATGTTTTACTAGCGGCACATCAAAGTGATAATTTGTAGATGTGTTAACAACCTCACACAATACAATTTGAAATGGTTGTCTTCACAAATTACACTGCGTGTATCAATCTTAAGATAGAATAAATAAAGATGAAAGTTGTCGACATCAAACGTAAACGTAGGATCAGGGATGTAAGACGTTCTTTTGCGTCCAGAATGAATCTTTATCAGAGTTGTGCTATTTAATAGTTGGCAAACTGTAGAATGTTTTCTCACAAAATAAGGTTGCAATGGTCATATAGTAAAATAAAAAGACCGGTAGAGACATTGTATAAACAATTTAAAGCATTGAGTCTCACAATTATAGAAATATCATAAACAATCGACATGTAATTTAAGAGTAATGTTGTGATCCGATGATCACGAAAGAAATATAGTCTCGAAAAAAAAGTAGTTATTATTGAAACCGATTAACGACGTTTATACAAAATAAAAGGTTTCTTCATAAGAACACCTGGAGCTAGTATAACATCAAAAGTGTTCAGTTTAGCTAATCGTTTCCAGTTGCTTTAAACCTATTTCAATTGATCAGCATCGGATAATTGCATCAATGAAGAAAAAAGCGTGTAGCCCTTTAAATACTTGTTAATACACATATACATTTTGTCTTTAGATCCACCAACTAACCCAGCCATAGTGACCGGTAATAGTGATCCTGTGTATGATGGTGACGACATTGAACTCCGATGTAGTATAAGGGGAGGTAACCCACTAGCCAGTCTGACATGGACATGTCCAGGTCGTAGCGTTACCTCTACAACAGCAAACACAGCAGACACGGCAGTCTCTGTACTAAGGATACGTCTGACACCTTTATATAACGGAGCCAATTGTACATGTGTAGCTACTCATCCAGCACAGGGCTTCATGACATCCCACACCGAGGTCTTCAACGTCTACTGTAAGTTTACTGTGGTAGTTATTGTGTTTATATAACTATTGATCATCAGGTCTTACACTAAGGTCATTAACGTCTACTGTAAGTCTACTGTGGTAGTTGTTGTGTTTACATAACTATTGATCATCAGGTCTCACACCAAAGTCTCCCACGTCTACTGTAAGTCTACTGTGGTAGTTGTTGTGTTTATATAACTATTGATCATCAGGTCTCACACCAAGGTCTTCCACGTCTACTGTAAGTCTATTGTGGTCGTTGTTGTGTTTATATAACTATTGATCATCAGGTCTCACACCAAGGTCTCCCACGTCTACTGTAAGTCTACTGTGGTAGTTGTTGTGTTTATATAACTATTGGCCATCAGGTCTCATACCGAGGTTTTCAATGTCTACTGTAAGTCTACTGTGGTAGTTTTTGTGTTTATATAACTATTGATCATCTTGTCTCGCACCGAGGTCTTCAACGTCTACTGTAAGTCTAGTGTAGTAGTTATTGTGTTAATATAACTATTGATCATCAGGTCTCATACCGATGGCCCAAATGTCAAATATAAGTATACTGTGGTAGTCATTGTCCTTTTGTGTGAAGTGCTTTTAAGGTGTGACGGGTTATTATTACACCAGGGTTCACAAAGCACAATGTCCTTCCCAGAGTTTACTTGATATTCTTATCTAGAGAAATTTTAATATATTTTTGAATAAATTTTTTTCCCTTTTCATTTATTTTTTAATATATTACGATTTTTTATAAAAAGGCCAAGTGTTAGTATAATTGATAATTCGACATTTGGTTAATTCTTAAACCAATCGCTTCTTTTGAGACACAGGCTACAAATAATTCTAAAGTTCCAGTCAAACTGTCACGGTGTAACACCCAGGATCAACACGGATTACCCTGGCTTCTATACTGACTCGCTACGGATACCCAGAGTTGTCCCAAGTTTGCACCACCGTAGCTCACCGGGGCTATATACCGACAAAGTATGGTTCGAGGTTAAAGGAGTAATTGGTGAAAGTGTCTGGTACATCTTTGTTTTGATTAAGAAACAGGAATGTCGTTTTAAAATTTAACAAAAAATGTGAATTTGGGTCATCTGTTTCCCTTTTTTAAAATGTCAAACACTTCAACGTAATATAACCTGGAATCCCCCTCTTTTCTATCTCATTTATGTATTAGTTCGTTGAATTAGAAGCGACCTGATCAAATAGTGACAAACTATGACTATTTTATGTAACGCGGTTTAAAAAGTTGTTCGATATGACAATATACAACCATTTTGCAGTGTATATGCATAACAAAGTTGTTAATAACATTAAATAATTACTTCGTTTTTCTCCTGAAATTGTTTTGAGATTTCATGTTTGATTCATAACTGACCATACGCATTCAATTTTAAGTTTTGTACAATTGAGTTCTTCATTATGTCAGAGCAGCTAATTATCAAACGAATTCTATTATTGTAATAATAAAACCTTCAGGACTGTGTTTTGGAGGCTCACATAATAAATATAAACCGTATTTTTTTCCTTGTTTGTGCGTAAATAAATACTTGTATTACCTGCCTGAACAGATGCCCCTCGTATCCATGCCCTGACGGTGACTGACACGTTCCCCTGGCTGGCCAGAGATACTTATGTAGGCCGTCTGAGCTGTGACACTACAGCCGGTAACCCGCCTACCACACGGTACACGTGGTACAGGGACGGTACACCGGTCAGTTCCCAGACATCACAGACGCTCCCCTTTGACCCACCTACCAGCAGTGATGGCGGACGGTTGTACAGGTGTAGGGCTGAAAACGACTTCACCGACGCCAAAGGATCGGCTCCGGAGTTGGACATAACATTAGATGTACAATGTAGGTTAACTTGAATTATGACATAATGCTGATGTGTTTGCTACCATCATTTTATTTCCTTGTACGACTGACATGCTGTCTAGACAACCTTACGCGACAAAATAAAGTCCTATCTGCAAATATTTGAAAAGAATGTAAAACCTTATTATTACATTCCTTTAATTACTTATTTTGATAAAGTAGGTTCTTTGGTGAATATTTTAACAAAGTATGCGAAATTATTTTCATTATTTAATTATTTAATAACCGCCTTCATATTAACTCAGATATTTACGCGTTGTTGATAAGCTTCGACTGTAAATGGTGGGGAGTGGGGGAAATGTTGTTGCGTCACCACTTATCCTGATGATCACCTATGCAAGTTATACGTAATCACTATCACTGTCAGAGAAGACCTTAGTTCTATCATAATTTCTGCCCATCGCCTAGCCTAACTTTGTACTTGGAGACGCTGTTTGTATTTCACATGAGCTTCCTTCGAACAAACAGTTAAAATTGCTAACCTTCATAGTCTGCTGACTTCCTTAACATGAAAGCTAACTGTGGAATTAAACGTTGTATTTTTCCAAGATTTTTTTACCTAATAGGTAACATACCTGGTTATGTTGGACAGTACAATCGGCACATGTCTCAGATGGATCTCGAGGCCTGCATATCGTTACGCTAATCTCACTTTGAACATATGGCCCACCTGTACTTTTTTCTCATGGTAGTTTGTTATCAGTGTTTAATTGGTCAAATTAACAAAAGTGACATTGTTCACTAGTAAACAAAATCGCTTTTTTAGAATGAATCATTTTCAATATTTCACCGGTACAAATGTAATATACAGATTTTTTCTTAGAAAAGAAGGGATCACAAAGGAATGTGTACGCTGCGCCATTCAGGATGAATCCGAAAAACAAAATTGCTATTAGGTAGGCATCTTAGATTTTGCATCTGAAGTTACGTATCATTCTTCTTCTTACTCGTATAAAAGGATCATTAAGAAACTGCGTGATGTCCCAGTCCATTATTCTGCTAGTTCGGAATTGTGATGAATAATAAAAAATGCTAAATTATAGCTATTTCGGATAGAGTTTTTACGCTACATAGCATGTCCCACCTTGAGGTTGATCGAAAATTACACAAAATTTCCGCAAGGTAGATTTTTTTTTTATGAAATATTTGTTACAGGTTACGCATGATCCTCTCGTTATGATTATATACATACTGCAATTCGATATGGATACAGAATGTAAATTGTCTCTCAGATTGTCATCTTGGATATTTCAAATGACGTTTGTTACCGCTATTTCTCAGAAAATCAGGGATCGTGTCCATAGTTATGTCTACTTCTCACTCGGCCGAATTTAAATATCCACAATGAACACAAGTTAATCTTGCATTTTGTATGCTAATTACACGAAGAATCATTGTACCACTATTTCAAGTATACATTGAGGTTCAAAAGGGAACTGTGTATGAATGACATCAATGGTTGGTAAGTCTTAAGATCAGATCCTGTCTTTTTCTTGAATATTATTTTTCATTTCACTAATTTACCTCAGTAGTGATGTTCATATTTGACATAGAGTAATCGGGTTCATTCATCAAACCATCCAGACGTTCTAGCTAATTAAGCATGTTTAACATAAAATAATATCTATTAAAAAAAAACACTTTCCTGTTGGTATGTTCTTTGCCATTTAATTAAAACAAGATAAGTTTAAGGATTTATTACCAAGATATGGTTTGCAATTAACCGCTATATGTCATGGGGTCTCTCATGATAATCTAAATATTTGCAAAGTTAATTCCGTGTGCACTACGTTCTTTTGTATATCCCGCTGGTTATACAACTTTTTACATAAAGAATGTGATTAGCAAGCTATCTGATAAAGCGTTTTATTTTACACTAATAAGAACAAAATGCGGGTTATGTGTTTTTTTCTTCTCTTTGCTAAGGCACAGGCGCTAGATGCATGCAACAGAGAACAACATCAACGCTTTATGGCTTTAAAACTAAAACAATTTAGAATAACTTTATAATTGCATTACAGGCACAATATCGATTACGTATGCAGGTCACGGTGCACGTGCAACCGCAGGTACTTTGGTGTGTTTAGTTATGCCGTACAGCAATCAGCGCAAAAATACTTACCGATTCAACGTATTTCCCTAGGCGTGTTTCCTGCTAATGTATTTTACCACATAAAATATCTTAACTCCCGAAAGCTATCCGCCGGCGCTGGTATGCGCTAAAAAAATGTAATAAACCTTGTTTTATCAATATAATACTAATCACTACAAAATGTGTCAAGTAATCAGAATTGTTAGTTAGTTTTTCTATTGTATTAAGCTTTAACATATGTTAGCGGACAACCTTGCTCGTTAGTCCCAAACAGGTTCTCCGGAAAGGGGGGGAGGGTGTTAAGGTTTGCGTCCGTTTGGTATGCAAGTTGACCGTTTACCTTATCTTTCAAACAGAAATTGTCGGGAGCATTAAGTCTACACCATTTAATCTGGATTTGGTGTGCAATTATGTCTTGGGTATTGGAATACAGAGAGCGGGAAATATGGCACTGTGAATTATATTCTAATATATCTTGAGATAGAGTTAAAAAAATATCATTATCGATGGGAGATTATGAAATACCTTGCAATACTTTGCCTTGGTAAATATATATTTTAACTTGCAGATGATCCCATTATAACACTCTCGGCCTATCCAGAAACAGTTAACGAGACAGACAATTACCAATGTACCTGTATAGCTGTAGGTAACCCCAACCCTACTGTTACCTGGTATCCTCGGGATTCCTCGACCAACAACATTCTGGACTTACCATATATCAACAGAAACAAGGTCGGGCGGTACACATGTAATGCCACGTCATCATCTCAGAAGTTTGGGTCGCTATACACCAAGTCCGATCTCAACCTTGTGGTACAGTGTGAGTATTGTCCTGGTGGTATTACATGTTCATACTAGGATAAATTAACAGGTATAATACATTCATCAGATGGGCTGTCGAATAGCGACCAAAGCCCTAATCGAGAAGATTATTTCGTAACCTGTGTTGTAAGATTGCCAATCAGAGGGCGAAAAAAATAAGGGAAATCATGGCTACAATTAAAACTAAAATAAAATATTGTTTTGATCCCAACAATTATGCCATGATCTCATAAGCTTCCCTGGTATCAATTTAGTCGTTACGAATAATTACATGTAACTGTTACAGACTTGACTAAGTGCCTTTAACTATTGTTTACACAATGATATATTTGTACCAAAACTAAATATAATAATTCGCCTACAACCGAATGGTAATTTGAGGTCAACTTTGATAACGACACTTGTCAATAAAAGCATGCTGTATGTAACGTCAAAAGGCTTACGGAAACCAATATATCTTCGTTTACAACAACTTATGCACTTGAATATGCTTAGTAATGTACACACGTTCATCCCAATGAGATAAAAACCTTCTCTGAAATATAGGATCCAGATCATAAACATGTAGACTTGTTTGCAGATGCCCCGGATGTAGAGTTGTTAGTGCAAAACGCCACGGAACACGATACACATTTAGTGATGACATGTAATGCGGCAGGTGTTCCAAACATTTACACTTACGGTGCTTGGACACATATGTACGGCATAATTCTCGTCAGGACCCTCACTGGTGACGTCACGACTGACGGCAGGACCCTCACACTGGCCAGCGTTTCATATCAGGATAGTGGAACTTACGCCTGTCAAGTACATAACTCCATCAGGGGGAGGGACGGTCAGCTGATACAGACAGAAACGGCTGTTTTTGATGTCAAAGGTAACACTCACATAAGACATTATCATAACACAATATGATACATTAAAGAATGCAATCATAAACAAAAACAATGAGAAAAAAATATTTCTCTATGTTTAGGAAGCCCAAAACTGCTTGAGGGTGGATCGATTGATATTGCGAACAAGGGCAAACCTTTTCGTAAGTCACTGATATTTATCAGCAACCCTCATCCAACAGACATGTACATCAGCAAGGAAGAGCGTCTCTCATCCACACAGAATCTTACGATCATATTTACAACAGAGATGGTGTCTGACATTTTCTACGGCAAGATTCTATCTCGTCCCGGATACAAAGTAAATTTGTATTTCCCGACATTCCAATTCCATCAGATGGGAAACTATAGCCTAACTGTCATCAACCCGATATACCCACATTTTGTATTTCACTTTACTATCTTAATTATAGGTAAGTGGTTATCACTCTCTTTAACGAATTTCCAAATTGATAAAATGGTTAATGAAGTTTCATTTTCGTTAAATTCTAATGACCATGGACCTGTCAAAACTACAGGAAGTGAAGTTATTTATATTTTTCCATGAAAATCCAATGATTTCAAAATATAGCTTTTTTATCGATTGTCATAATTTCGTCGTATAGCCATTAATGTATTGGTGATATCCGATGTGGAAATACTTAAATACACCATGTTTCGTGTGCATTTTCAACTTAAAATAGAAATCTCCTTAATTCAATGTGTTTACTATCTATTTCAATATAACCCTTCTCAACTTGCTTAAACATGATAATGACGTATGCAATTATTTTTCCTAATTGTTTTTACACTTTGTTGTTATTACGTTAGATGTCCCAGACACACCGACTGACCTGGTCGTTGACCAGATAACAGCGAGTTCTGCCGTAGTGTCATGGAAACCGGGTAATAATCGAGGCCGAGAGGACCAGCAGATCCATGTTTGGTTACTACAGCAGTCGTCAACCACGTGGGACATTATAGACGTCACTGAAGAAATCCCACACGTACAACTCACGAACTTGATTCCTGCTACGACCTACACAGTTCTACTATTCGCAACAAATGAAAAGGGCAGTAGTGAAAATTCAACAATGCAATTCACCACTTCTCAACAAGGTGAATCTAACATTTATTTGGCAAATATGTGTTATAAACGTAATAAATAAAAACATCTTGTTGGTATTAAAAAACCTAAAAAGAAATTGTGTTTAGCTCACTCAGATAGTATACTGAACAAAAAAAAAAGAAACGCACAATTAAATTATGCATCAATAGCCTATGATATTTTGGGAAATTTGTACAAAATGTTATAACAATATGAAGGGACAAGTCTACTCTTTACAATACTGCAGAAGAAAAGTATGTGTGACGTCACTCGTGTCATCAGTAGTAACTCAAAGTGGGAGACCCGCGAAAAACAAAATGACACTTCAGAACCTGAAGTGGGCACCTTTTAAACGAATCCCTGCACGGATTCTCCTGTGCATTGAATTCATGAGAACATTTATTCTATTCGCCTTAAGGGAATGTTGTTCCATTCNCACATGTCGGGGCTAAATGAGGGCCATTCCAGAGGCTGAACGTTGTTTGCCGTGAGAAAATCAAGACAGACTCTGGCAACATGCGGTCGAGCATTGCCTTACTGGAATATTAGGTTATGACGCCTGTGAAGTGGAAGGACATGTGGTTGGAGGATCTGGTCTCTGTATCGAACGGCATTGAGGTTTTGATCCAGGACCACTAAGGGGGATTTTACTCCATGGGAGATGCCTCCCCAAACCATTACAGAAGCCCCACCGAATATATCGCGTTCAACCACGCATGCGTCGGCGAAACGCTCACCGCGTCTGCCATATAGCCCTTGTCTTCCGTCTAAAGCGATACAGACATAATCTAGACTCGTCGGTGAACATCACACGCCTCCATCGATGCATCCTAACCTATTCGGGCTATGTCTGTGCATCCAGTCAAGACGCACTTGCTGCCTCCGTGGTATCAGAGGTGGCCCGACATAAGGTCGGCGCGCAATGATTCGCTCGGCACGCAAGCGGTTCCTGGCAGTTTTAGGACTAATGGGTCTGCCATGAGTACCTAAGGTATGCGACGCAGTCTCTACAGCAGTCTTGAAACGGTTGCACAAGTGCGACAATCGAATCGCCCTGTCTAGTCGTGTGGTCGTTACACGCGGACGATCGCTCCTGGGACGATCGGAAACTAACCCAGTAGCACGGAAACGTGTACAGAGACGGTTAATTGTACACGGGCCAACACCAAACTGCCGTGCGACAGCAGTTTGGCTATGACCAACCATCAACATCGCAATTGCTCTACCCCTCTGAATTTGCGTTAAGCGTGGCATCTCAGTCAATGGCAAAATCAAAATGCCAACGTGAAAAATTAAATTGGCTGAACTTAGAGTATCCGTTGAGATTATTTGTTTGAAAAAATTCGGCTTGGCTTGATCACGCCGCGTGATTTGGACTAAAGAAGCTCACTTAGTCACACAATGACATCGTCACGAGAAGGGAGATCGTTCTTGAAGTAAAACCTGACCAAATATTCCATTATTTCCTTACAGCGAAGGTGTACTGCAGGAGGAAACTTTGTGCGTTTCTTTTTGTGTTCAGCATATTTTGACCCCTGCGTCATTTATTGCACGATCACTTGCTACTCAAATACAAGACTTCAATCGACATCAATACGTAACTTACTTACATATCACATAAGTCCATACTCAATTAAATCCCTTGAAAGGAATTATGGCGAAATCCGGAGGGTTGTTAATCAGAGATATCCCCCCCCCCCATTCATAACGCATATGTATACATATATATCAAGAATTAACATATACAGTCGAACCTCGTTATCTCGAAGTCGACGGGATCGTTGGGAAACTTCGAGTTATCCGAGTATTCGAGTTAAGCGAGTTCCTATGTTTGGCATAAAGCTTGGTAAAGTTCCAATATGAGGCTATATATGTCATTGATTTCTCTGGCAATCAACGTATTTAAACAGTCGATAAATGACAAAAAGATAACTATATAGAATAAAAAATATACAACTTATTCATAATCATATTCATTGATTAATTAATGTTACAATAAACACACATGCTGTCTCCGACCTGCTATGCTGATAGAAATTTCAATGTGGAAATGAAAGTGCGCAAGTCTTTATACAAATCACTGTATTGGAGCGTACACGTTGGATTGCTCAGTTGATTTCGACATTCCGAAATGGGTATGAGTTAATCAGGAAACATATCCATATTTATAGACCCCAATGACACTTGAAATCTCCTCAACACGACGTAGTCAACAATAATTATCGTATTGTTCCTATAATCTCTCTATTAATTATCAATGCCATACAATCTCCTGTAAAAACATAAACCAACGAACCAGTCCTAGGTTGTGATTTTTACTGTGGAGCTTATTTACGCATGACCGCACACTGTGACCCATTTTCCGGTCAGAATGTGTCGGCAGCTTTGGTTTAAATAAAGTGCTTTTCAAATTGTTTACGGGCTCGCAGTAAGTACTAATTGTTGTTAATCAACATTGATGAAGTTTGTTTCTTTATTTGTACAAAGTGTTTTTACAGTCAAACACATTTTAATGCCATAAGTTTAATCGAAGTAATTATGACCGAGCGTAAGCTGCTCTATAAGAACGACGTTTACCGTAGCACTGCGTCTAATATGTATCAAATAATTGAAGAATATATGATAGACTTGTGAATCTTAAGAAACTTCGAGGTAGGAGATAGTTTTATGTAGGATTTACGTTGTTGGGACCGATGTTTCACTTCGGGATATCCGATTTTTTCGAGTTTTCAAAGTTCGATATATCAGAGTTTTTATAAGTAAGATTAAGAAGAGTTTTGGCCGGGACCGATGAAATACTTCGAGTTAAACGGGGTCTTCGAGTTATACGAGTTCGAGATAACGAGGTTCGACTGTATATGAAGATGATCGCAATGAGAGCTAACGATATTATTACCAAAAATTTGTAAAATAGTTTTCAAAATTTCGAAACAGTTTATTTTGTTGCTTCCGCGAAGGAGCGGGACAGACCTCGCGTTCTCTAGGGTTGTTAAAAACATAAAGAAATACAAAATAAGCAACTAGCGTCCACCTGGGTTTGTACTTAATTAATACTTAGTTTTATAATGATCGATAAAACATTACAAGATCAGCAATACATACTTATCTTATCTTTTCGTCCTCCCAGTAGATACTGAAACAGTGCACAAAGTTTTATTTTAACAGGAAATGCCGTCCAAAAGTTGATTATTCTGATGATTTTTATGATTCTGACGTAAGTAATTCGGACAGTATTTTGGCTGTATTACTCCAGTGGCCAAATTCCTATTGGATTGAATTCGCTGGTTGCTTCAACTGATCAAATAGACGAATCGAAACTAAACAGCCATTAAAACAGTAACGATGAGCAATGTTTGCAGCACATAGTATCATTATATAATAAAATCAACACCTCAGAAATATCTACAAAGTCGCTATTCCCTCGTGAGATCTGAGTCCTCAGATACATGTACATACTGGTATATGGATAATGGTTTTACCTATTTACTACACAATCATTACATGAAAGCATACATATTATATTTAACTAAAGCTCTAAGATATGAGTTACAAGCCTAAGCGCTCAAATGTCTTCACATCAAGCAAGACTCTTAGTGGTAAAGTTTAATAGGTTGAAGCATCCTACTTTACTATTATACAGTTCTTTATTGGTACCTCATGATGGTACATATACCTGATTGACTCATAATATTGCATTGCATGACAACAACTGTAATGTCACCTTTACGAAGTGATCCATAGCACGCTAAATATACACAAAACTTGTATATACATATTTTGTCAATATTCTAAGATTGTAAGTAAAACATTTCTGATTGATGTATGCACGATGTATATATAATAATCCAATTAACAGACAGACCAATTTATGTCTTTTGATTGTACGATCTTTGAATTATATTTATTATGGTATGATTTCAGTTTGCGATGACGCCTGTCCATTTTATAGACAAATGTTCGTTACCTCCATTGTTCTTACCTGTGTCTCCGTTTTCATACTGCTCATCAACCTAGGGATTGGTGTGTTTATGACAAGTACGTATACATCAACGCCGCCATTAGCTATTTCTTTTCAATCAAGTATTTGTTTTTTTTCTGAAACAAGATATATGTCTGTTGTGATAATCATTCTGATAATCCGATATTATTATGATAGTATCACACTGTGTTGCGCTTTTAATGTACCCTTTCATGATATTGGTTTTGACAGGATTTGGACATCTTCCATTTATGTAAGTAAAATGGGTATATTTGATTCATTCAATTTATACGTAATCGATAATAATATTGCGTAAAATAGCGCAGCATTTGTTGTTACCTGTTTTGTCATTGTCATCATAACTGTCTACTTTTTCGTATAACGAATATACGGTAGTTATTCTATAATCATAATATAAAGTAGGTATGCTATCACCGTAACATAGATTTATAAACATTTGATAATAGTGCTATATTTATGTAATGTTCCATAGGTGATGTTAAAACTTATCTGTTATCAAGGAAACGACGGATGAACAGCACCAATACGTCCCCCAAACCGTTCGCCAGCATCGAGGATTCCGAACACGGTATGTGTTACCATAATATCAGTAACTGTAGCTTAAATTTTTAAGGGATTTATTATCCATAACTCTCAATGGTAACGTTTAGTTCTTAATTGGAATGTACATATAATATTATAACAGGGAAAAAATATTCGTATAACAATGTTTATCATAATAATGGTACTGTTAACTTTGTTTCAATTGATATTTTACAGCAATGGCAGGAATAACATCCGATCAGGAACGGTAATTATCTATTCTCTAAAACAAACATTTAAAGTCATACCTCGTGAATCCGGATAACTCATTAATGCATTGATGAATTCATTATAAATGACGGTTGCCTATAAAAGAAAATTAAATTTATTCGGTTTTGTTATTTTTCAACTTGTTTCTAAACATAATTGTATTGATATTGTTTGTATCGGGTTGCTCTTGTCCAAACTCAGTGTTATATGTATACATAACCAATCGAAACATACAATTCGGTAGTCAAACTTTTAAATAATTTCAATTAAAAAGTGATATTCCGAATCTGAAACATAAATTTCCACAAATTATATAATATTGTTAAAAAAAAATCCTGGACTTGTGAATTGGACCTTCATAACAAGATTTGTTTATATCAACTGTTGCAATTTAATCTAATTTAAATAGGATAAATTGTATGGGATTTTAAATATGGAAAAACTACCGTATTTATACACAGTAGTAAGATGTATCAATGTGACCTGTAAACATTCAATCAGAACGAAGGGATGTGGCTTAACTAGCATTTTTCACTTGACATATACTTTAAATATATTTCTGTATAATTTGCTAGATTGAGACCATGTACGTATAAATATAACTAAGAAACTAAATTGATTACGACAACGCAATCAATTACATGGGTATTGTCTATTGCAGAAGTCTGTATACTGAATTGGATACAATAGACTTTGCAGCACAAAATATGTACGACCCAACGATACCTGCACACGGTATGCTTTGTATTCATAATAATACTAATACTAATAATAGAAATTCTGTATTTAGGATGTGTACATGTTTAGCAGTGGGCTAATCTTCCACATGGTTCCCTTGTTAGTAAAATGCATGTGTTAATTAGTAATTACATTATAGATAAATATATCTATATGAAAAAATAGCATAACATATATTGTATCATAACTTTCTAAGACACGATCACCTTAAAACTATTATCACAGCTGTCTTATATTAAGAATATCACAGAATGCACAATTATGCAAAGTCGTTTCATCAATTAAATGTCACATGCCTAATTTACATATATGTTAACATAGCAAAAACTTAAAAATTGACCTAGTTATACGCTAATGTAGCATACTTTAAAACAAAATACACTTCATTAAAAAAGCTGCATTGATAATGTATGAAGATGTTTGACAACTTTCTGTTTAAAATTGTTAAATGTATTGACATTCTTTCATTCTTCTGGAAGTCCAGTCCAAAGTTGAATACCAGCAATCCAAAAAAAGTGTTTGGGATAATACGTTGTACAGTGTTTTGGAAAACAAATATTATTTGCATCCAAAAACCTACTACTTCCTGTATGGACATTCCTAGCTAGACAAAAACTGTCTGCTAAGTAATTTGGTACTAATCCATTTAGACATTTGAAAAACATACATAATAATCTAAATTTCAATTTCAACCAAGGATAACTGGCTATATCACCTCAATACTTTGTTTCGTAAAAGTTTTTGAATGATCTATATAACATTTTTTGTATGTGCAAAAATTGAACGTACAATGCACACATGGGGGGGGGGGGGGGGTCACTAAGACCATGTTTCACTATCTTAACCCTTAACCACTCTAATAAATTCGACACGTATACATTATCAATCAGTGTCTCTGTATCAGCAATACCACGGGTTGGTTCATTTACCATTTGATGCATTTGTAGGTTTTCCATAAGGTCACTGAGATCACAAGTGTTGTCTTATAATACATTTATTTTTAATCACCAATTAAAATAAGTTATTTGTTCTCATTTTGACTGACCCGAGATAAGTTTCAAATTTGTCCATCCAGAACTGTGCATAATAGTTTGGGGGATTCAGTTATTCAAGTTACAGAAACATTATCCTGAAAACAAAGCAAAGGAAGCTTAGAAAAACTCTAGCAACTCAATCAGAAATGAGTTTGTATTGTGAATTGATCAGGATGATACAATTAAGAAATATCAACCTATGTTCGTTTGTTATGGTTAAACATATAACAAAGATAACAAAACTTTGGAAGATTGATTCAGGAAGTCCGCTAAGCCTCATTAAATTAGTTTATCGCTGTTGTCGAATCTCAAGCTACATACATCAACATTATACCCACATATTGTAATCATATCTATTTGACAAAGTAAAATGTAATGCAAGTGTGTTTGTGGTAACCCCAGTGTCCATAACCCAGGACATTATATTATGTCAATTAGACTGTTCTTGTACGCTTGCAAACATTTGTCACCTGGTACTTATTTCATTTCAAAACAAGCTGCGCAATTGTATCATCTATAACACAAGAAGTGGTTGTCCTGTTCTGCCTGTTTGACCATGACATATTTGATAATGCGATATATGCCTAATAGTTTGCTGATGTATCAGAAATATACGAAAAACGATAAAACTAGCAGAGAGTAATCGTGCCCGCTGCATTAGCGTTACCCCGCAAATGCTGAGACAATTTGTGTATGGCTGATGGAAGTGAAGCACTTGGAACATGTAGCATTGATGACCTGATCTCCATTCTATGGGGTCCCAAATCCCAATGATTTGTTTTATATTGACCTACAACAAACACTAAAAAGTATAGTCCTGCTGGCAAATAGATACATATTAAATCAATAAAGACATCAATCTGTCGATATTGTTTGCTCTCAAATAGAACCAACATTAACAGATGTACCAACACCACTTCAAGTCACCTCCTTGGTTAGCTAGGTGGAACATTCTGGTCATGAGCTCAACATAGGATTAGTGGATCTAAAGGTTAGATAGAAACTGTTGTTTGTTTTTGTTCGTTAACAAATCTCCCAAGGTATAACATTGTACCCCAGATGGACAACGAAAACCAGTCCCAATGTTCACTTATTTGGATTTGCAATACCCGGAAAGTTTTTGAGAAAACGTTCCACTTGCATATTCTGTTGACAAAATAATACAAGCACGCACTTGGTTTATCGTCCAATAATACGTAATTATTAAACAAAAGTATCGCACCATTACAGATGTTGTGTTATTGCTAAAGATTAAGGAACGTTTAACCCATGATTTTCTATCTCAAATCAACATTCATTAACATTCGTTTTTGTTGATGTAGATATTGTCTTGGATGAAAGAGCAGAAAGAAGGTAATCTTTACTTGTTAACTGCACGACACCTTTTAAAACTTTTTAATTGAACAGAAATAGAAGCACTTGCAATAGACTGCAATTATGCAGAAGTAAGAAAAAGGGAAATACACATTTGAAACAAATAGAACGGTTTTGTGGTAAAACTTATTTGAAACAAAACGCAAATAAATCGGTAACATGAATATTTAACATTAAATTGACTACGTATTCAATTAACTTACTTAGCTAATGATTCTGTTTTTAGCAATTATGAAACACTTGGAGGAGTATCGGGCCCAAATGTATACGAGGAACTCAAAGAAAGGAGAGGTGAGGATGACACTCTTCATGCACGGCAAAACACTTATATGCATACACAATACCTGGCGCACATATTTCCATCTTTGTGATGACGAATATATATCTTAAGCGCACGAGTAGGTTTGTCTGTTTACGTAATAAACGAGCTACATTAAGAAATACGTTGATATGCGGGTATTTCTTTTATAACTTACCTACATCTACTTCTTATATACAAATGATATTGTACCTATATGTTGCAATATTTTCAGAACATAACAAAACATCATTTATTGGTTAAAAACGACGTGGCTACTTATTTTGGAAAAAGGTTCGTGTTGATTTTATGAAATGATCAATACATGAAATGCACTGTTCCCTTAAATATTATGTCTAAATATTATTCGCGTGTAATTTATACCATACATTCCTTTGCTCTATTACTACAATACAGATTCATTTAAATTTTCATAAAAATGCTTATGACCTAAATACAAACTGTTTAGATACATTTAATCAATAATTTTAATAGTAGTTGCAAACACCAACAAATGAAACTGCAGCGATGCTTGATCATTTTATTTTAGACACTTTTTGTTTTGGTTAAAAAATAATGCTTTTCTTTTGCTTTATATTTAGGTTCAAGCTCAAAGCAAATCTATATCAACACGTCACTCATTAAGGACGGATAGACAGCGACCTAACTACGGAAATTTGATGTTTGGGAACCCATCATTGGTCAACTGATTTAACTCAGATGTCAGAAGTGTATTTAGTTTCATCTAAAATGTGTCATTCGTGACTATAAGATGTCAAATATATACTGGTTAAATTACGTGCAATGTTTTAAACGGATGGAATAGTGCTAGATTGTTTTTTGTGTCAAATATACTTATGTAACAAATACCTAATTATTCGCTGTTCATGACAATATATTTACAAATATGCATTTATAACATGTACTGTATATAAACATTAATGCAACTTAACATTTCAAGTAAAACAAATTAAGTGGTTCAATGTCCAAATTGTGATCTACATACTAAGGCTTAAAGATGTACTCTTCTGAGGTTTCAATTACGTTCAAGTCTCGTTTTGATCTGGTGTAATGTTTTTTTTGTAATATTTAACAAATTATGATCAAGTTTATTAGCAAACACGCATCTGAAAAATATGTCAAAAACTAGATGCCTGCTGTTTGTAGAACTTATTTTACAAGAATTTAAAAAAATTATCAATTAGGCGGCCATTTTGAAAATGTGTATTAATGTGTATTTCTTGCGCTTCAAAAAAGGCCAAAATTTCACCTTTTTTGACACTAGATTGATCACTTAAATTGTTATTGTGTCGCCATTTTTAATTGTAGCAGGTTCAATTTTGCTGTACAACTTTATAATGTACAATATGATCAGAATAATATGCAACAAACTGGAAAATTATACATTATTGATATTTTTTTTACGTATTTAGTGTAACTGAAACACTTTTGATTGATGACTCGGAAAAAGGTAAAAAATAACACAAATGATAATGGGACAAAAAAAGAAGCACACTGACCTCCATTTTGGTAGATGTTTTAGAAAGAGAAACTCATTTTCATTTAATTCATTAAATATTAAAAAAAAAATTAATACCAGAACTTTTTATATCAAGAGTTTAATCTGCAAAATAAATGGTAAAAAAATAGTATTTTTTCATTAGAAAATAGGGGGTAGGGGTAACTAAAATCGGCTTTTTGAGTTAAAAGAATAAGATTAAGAAATGTCCCTTCCATAATTTAAAAGAAAATAATATTGTCATCAATTCTAAAAACATTCATACATATCTGATAACACACTTGAAAGAAATTGTATGAATTTGTTCTGCAAATGGTTAAAACCCAAAAAATCACCTAAAATCACGTGGTGTGTTAAATTGGTATCTTTGACCGATCATTGCACAAAAACGAACACACCGACATATATTTTGTTTGCATTTTCTACTATGCCACTAACTCCTTTTTCAAAAAATCCATATAAGAAAAACAAGTTTAATACGGGAATTTTTTGTCTTCTCAGAGGTGTACATCTTTAAAACAATATGTATGCCATTTTATAGCGAAAAGCATGTCCATAATGGTTTACGCCTCAGGACGATATTGACATTTATGGAACGATTGTGGTAACTTTAAAAGTTGAGTAAATGAATAATGTTAACAGTTGTTTCTAGCAAGTATTGTTCCGCCTGTTTCTACAATAAGGCAGAAAAACAACAATGATCTGATCAACAAAATATTGTTGTAATCATTACAGGCGCATGCCAGACATGTTTAGAAAATTAAAGTTAATGACAGATAGGGATTTAACAATTGATTAACATGTCAATCATTTTCATAAGAAAAAATATCTATCTATCAGATTATTTTTCCTTTCTAGAAACCAAACAGAAACTAAAGGGCAAGGTATTCTGGGCTAGGTAGCTATAGGAACATCAATCACACTTTTTTTGCATTTGCCATATATACTATAGCAACATGAACATGACGATGTAGTATGAATAATTTATTATACTGTAAACAAAACACTGAACATATATTATTTTCAAGTTCCGAAATGTAGAATATTGTATTAACATTCCCCTCACACTCAATACACCATCCTTTACCTACTAGGACTAGGACTAGGACTTGTCCATACTCTAGAAACACCAGAGTTATTGTGGTACAGTGTATGTGAAGTAAGAATAATTATAAATCCTGTTGATTCCTGTAGTAGCAATTATTTCCTTCGAATCCTCTTAATTGCAACATATCAATGAATATGCAGCGATTAGGTATCTGCGTTAACACAGTGGCTCATTAAAATGTCTCTGTTTAGTATGTTCACATAACATTAGAGGCATACTGATATGGGTCATGTCATACATTACGTCTATAACACCACCGGAGATTGACGTTCTGTTCAATTGTGCATGTAGACTATTTTATCAGAGAATACTATATTTACAGAAAGTCAAACTCATGTGCTGACCGAACTATATATGCTATACTGATCTGGATCACAACGCAAATAACCTTACTGAATCATATTAATGTGTATGATTATTAACATTTGTAACGAACCCCAATGTTGTTTTTTTTGTCGCTGGGAATAAGCGTTCTATTTTTAGAACACATAAAGAGTACGACAGAACAGTATAGGTTTAGCTAAAACCTAAATGTGAAACCTGACATCTGGGGCATGTTCAGTTCACCCGGAATCAACACAATGTACCAACGTTAATATTTGGGGTTGGACTTTGCTTTGTCGGTCGGCCATCGATAAAATGTATCATATACATCAGACAATAATGTTAAGTAACCAACACAGTTTAAATGACGTTTTATAAAATTAGTTTAATGACTGTTTTGCTTTTTCAATAGATTTTAACGAAGTATACGGATACCATTTAAAAGCTAGCAGAGGTTGCCATCTTAATTCAAGCTTTCAATCTCCGTTAATATTAATATTATTATACATTTGATATATCACCCTATCTAGCTAGAATTAGCCACTCTAAAGCGATTTACAGTACATATACAATTAATACAATTATCATATATACATTAATCAATACAATTTTGAGGAATTCGTAGGAGTTGCCTTATCAGGCGCTAACCACTAGTCGTATGCCACCTTGCTAATATACCCCTATGTGTGTATGCCTGCGTGTGTGCTGGAGATGCGTTGTGTTCTGTTTGTAATGGGACCGTGCTTCCAACGGCATCATTTATAGTGCCATCTTACTTGAATGCTTCAGCACAGATACCGCAACATCCACCCCATACCATTGTATAATCCACCTGGGTTGTTGGTGTTGTGTGGGCAGGACAAAAATACATCTCTCTGAATATCCATGTGTACGACGCCATCGAGGATCGAACCCCTATCGCCTTTGTTCATTATACCTTTAGACGTTTCATCGGCAATGAATTTTGTCATACAATCTCAAACAGTCATAGTTTGAAACCGTTTTGATAGATGTCTTCAGAAAATTGCTTCCATCATTAAAACTGTTACATACACATTTCGAATAAATTATGTATTGATACAAAATGTCATTTGGTTGAAACGTGTTTGTGTTTGTTATATATGTGTTGAATTTTCAGGAACTAAATAAATGGATGGATAATAACTCCATAGACTTTAAATTTCACTCAAGAAAAACAGAAACACTAAAGGAAAATGAGGTTAACATAAACGTAATTCACAGCTAAACAAAAATTACTACCACAAAATATCAACAAAAGGAAGATCTGCATGAAGACTTTACCATTAAACTAATGAATGAAGTCTGCTGAACAATCTATCTCCGAGCGCTACAAAGTTGTGTCAATCAGAAACGTAAATGCCTTGATTTTATATTTATATCGCATTGGTCTTCTTCTGTTAAGTATGATGAATGGTGGTATTAAGGGTGCAAACATATTAAAAACAATATCCCAATAATTCTACTTCAGTACTAAAATAAGACTGTGGCCCAAGTTTTATGATACTAAGGATGCTAATTCCAAGTTTGGATACTTGTTCTGTTGAGCATTCAGCACAATCAGCGACAAAACGATGTTTATAAGTTTTCTTGTGAAATTCTGGAATCAATTACAAAGGAGGCAGGTCTGCATCTGTGCCATGTATTGATATACAGCGAGACTGTAATGCATAACCATGTTGAGCTTGATTCTCCTTGGAGAAAAAGAAAATGTATTGTTATATTTCATTGGTTATCAAACACATGCACATCGCTGTGCTTTTTTTTTACATCGGGGTTAAGGAATTCAGACTTGTCTTGTTTTCACTTTTGATTTCAAGCCGTGATTGATTTTGTATGACTGGACACAGATATTTAACAAATAAATACAGAGAAATGTGTGCAGATACTTATAGTTTTGTCCAATTAAAACGGTATTTTTTCTTTATTACGCATGTTTCCGTTTGAAGTTCCGACGAAGCAACGGCAGATGCAACATACATTTTGGTATTTTAATATGATAATTATTAATATCCTTTTTCGTTAGGAAATCTTAACAGATAATAGAAGCAAACGTCATAAGAATCTTGCGTCAAAAGACGGTTAAATATTACCTATTTGTTTTAACAACACATTGACCTTTTGTTTGACTATATGATAATAGGTCTTTGTAAGGAGTTATGAAGTCGTGGTGGGAGAGTGCCGTTGAAGTAAAATCTACCCAGAAGTATAAATCAGTCTACAAAACACGTTACGATAGGAGGCCCATTGGAGGGACACATATAATTGCTTTTCAATAACCTGTTTCTTTAATGTTAACTTTTCCTATGTCACCAGAATAAACAGGATTAAAAAATTATCTTTTACAATATTTTGAAATTTCCAATTTTGTCTAAACGGCGATTAATTAACTGATGATACATAAATTACGATTGCTATCAAACTGAACGATACGGAATGTGTGTTTTTAAGAAATGGCCCTTGACCTTGTACTGCAATTGTCAACATCCACGTGACCCGTCTGTCTAGTGGTGTCGTTACAGGATATACACGTGGCAGTGTTATGATACCGTTACATGATATACAACCGGTTAATTAATGGTGTGGTTAAATGATACACACCCGGTTGCCTAATGGTGTCTCGTTACAGGATACACACCCATCAGTGTAATGGTGTCGTTACAGGATAAACACGCTGCTGTGGAATGATATCGTAAAAGGATATACACTCGGCTGTGTAATGGTGTCGTTACATGATACACACGCTGCTGTGGAATGGTGTTACATGATATACAACCGGCGGCTGTGTTATTGTTTCGTTACAAGATACACACCTGTCTGTGTAATGGTGTCGTTACAGGATACAAATTCATCTGTTTAATGTTGTCGTGACTAGATACAAACCCATCTGCGTTATTTTGTCGTTACATGATACACACCTGTCTGTGTAATGGTGTCGTTACAGGATACAAATTCATCTGTTTAATGGTGTCTATACTGGATACAAACCCATTTGTGTTATGGTGTCGTTACATGATACGCACGCTGCTGTGAAATGGTGTTACATGATATACAACCGGCGGCTGTGTTATTGTTTCGTTACAAGATACAAA